TGTACTGGGGAATCTGGGTCGTCTTGCCCGAACCCGTCTCGCCGACAAACACGAGAATCTGCGTGCTGTGGTACATGTCCAAAAACTCCTGGCGCTGCTTGTGCACCGGCAGGCCCTTGCGCGTCTCGAGGATGCGGAAGTACTGCTGCGTGTGCCGGCGGCCCGTGAATGCGTTGTACTCTTCGTGCTCAACCCGCGAGACCTGCTCGGCCGTCGTCTGGTGGCGCGTCATGCCGGCGAAGCCGTTATCGTCGCTGCTGTACAGAGGCTGCTTGCCCTTGTCCTGGTCAAACTCGTCGCCATCGTTGCCGTTGCTGCCCTCGTCCTCGAGGTGCGCCAGGTACGGATTCTTGGCGGGCTTCTTCGCGGATGAGGCATCGCTGTCTGAGTCGACCTTGGGCGTCTTGCTCTTCTCCGGCCGCTCGCCGTTCTCGCCCTTGTTGCGCTTCATTGAGGGCAGCTCGGCGGTGTAGGAGTCGGTGTCGGAGTCGGGGGCGTGACGCTTTTTGCTGAGTGAGGAGGAGGAAGGTTTGTCGAGGCTGGACATTATGGAGAGGAAGGGGGAGAAAGAAAGACAGGAAGGAGCGGGCGGCAGAATCTGCTAAGTAAATAAACGAAACCAGATGTAAGAAAACTGGGGTCAGTTTGAGGCCTGGCTGGTGCAAATCCAACAAAAAAAAAAGGCGAAAATCCGTCTGGAATGTCGTAGTTCGTTGTAAAAGGCAGCCGCGCAGGGTCGGTGTTTCCCAAGAGCGATTACCACTAAAAACTTTTTTCTGGGCCAATGCGATAAGGCCGATAAGAGGTTTGTGCCTGTGGCGGGCGGTGAGGTACTGGTACTTTACGGTGCAGGATCCCGAGCTAAATTACGGTGCAGCACCGCTGTGAACATGTAGAGAGACTTGTACAGGCCTGTTATCCCCTCAACCCCTACCTTTCCTCCGCTGCTCAATTTTCGGGATGTTTTCATCACAGCGATGTACAGTTTTCTGTGTCGTCAATCACCAAGGGCAGCAGAAACGGTTTATAGCAAAGACATCCTTCACTGGAAAGCGATTTGTTCCAACGGCTACTGAGTAGCACCTGCAATCTAGGGTCTGGCGGGCGAAGCTACTGTACTTCGTAGTGGCTCGTTATCGATTGTTCTTTTTTTTTTTTTTTTTTTTTTTTTTGAAGTATTACCACGACAGCACCTATCGGACAATTTTGTTACTTCATACTCTGCTCGCACTGGCCAACCACGCTGTACCGCAGAGGGGCTCCTTGAGTTTTCAGTTCGTGTGACCAAAGACAGACAAGACGATACGGGAGGCAGCTGGTTGAATCGGCAAAAGAGAAAAGCGAAAACCCATTTCTATATCTTATTTATTTTTCCCCTCTTTGCCTCTTGGGGCTGATAATGGATTGTTGCTGCAACGACAGTTCCAAGGCATAGAAAGCCTTGTCGCCAAGGCGGATCGCGACCAGAAACGGTTCCATCGACCAGCACGTCCTCCTTCCGAGGTGTCTCTTCGCCTATCGCATCACACACGTCGCTCGCGATGTCTCGCCAGTCGTCCCACAGTGGCTACGAGAGCTACCAAGCCTCGCGGCCTTCATTCTATATCGGCCAGCATGACTCGCGCCGCATGGAAGGGTTGACCGACAACCAGTACAGACGCCTGCTGGACTATGGTGTAAGGAATATGTTTGGGACCCCTTCTTTCTACGCAGCTAACTCTATTAGTTCTCCTTTGCCACGGCCCCAATTACCACCAAGCACTTCCACGACCGTGTGATTGCGCTGCAGAAGAGCTACCTCGCTAACGTCGCCGCTCGCGATTTGACCGCCGACGAGCGCGCCAACCCGTCGTTGCCCGGCCCAACAATACCGACACTGACAGACGAGGACACGACTCTCTTTCCCGGTCCCAACATCACCTCCATCGTCGCCTACTGCAGCCCGTGGATCGACCTCTACTCGGCTGACCCGCTGGTGGCTAACCTCTCGCGCCAGGCGCTGAACCTTGAGGTGTCGTATGCCAGCTTCTGCGGCGTGCGGAGCATCGTCATTCCCGGCCCACGTGCCGACGCCGACCCGAAACGTGTGGCGCAGTATGGCCGCGCCATCAAGGAGGCTCTGCGGCTGGCGGCGCAGATCGGCATCGTTGTCCACCTGCCCATGTACCGCGAGCCTGGCTTGGAGGAAACGGGCGACTCGCTGCCCGGGCCGGATGCCTACCCTGCTGGCAGCGAGGAGATTGACATCTACAGCGCATGGGACACATGGCATACGATCCGGACCATGTGTGACTACGAGCCGCGGCTGTTTGTAGCGGTTCGCGTGCCGAAGCGGCTTCCCGAAATTGAGCTGCAGACGCGCTGGTTTGCCGAGCCGTTGCACTTCCTCACATTCTCGGCATCCATCTTCCAGCAGAACCGAGCGGGATTTCCGAGCCTCAGCCGAAACCACCAGTCGCTGGTCAACAAGTACATGAGGCTCAAAAATGCACCATGGATCCTCCTGGCGGATTCCGGCCCCAGTGAGGAGGAGCTGACCAGCGGTGACCTTTCCCTGCCCTCGTCGCCTTCACCGTCCGGGTCCAGCGGCGCCGACTTCCCGAGCCTGGCCGATGCGCACAACCGCACTGCCCACCAGAATGACAAGAAGCGCAAGTCTACACAGAACGCACAGCTGTCGTACATCAAGCACCTTGAGCGCGAGCAGGAGCCGTACTCGGCGACGGAGACGTCGACGCTGGCCAATTTCCAAGACTGGCTGCAGTCGCCTCTCCAGCCGCTTGCAGACAACCTTGAGTCGGCCACGTACGAGGTGTTTGAGGGCGACCCGGTCAAGTATGATCAGTACGAAAAGGCCATTGCGGCGGCTATGGTTGACTGGAAGACGCTGAACCGGCCGTCGTCGGCCATCCCTCGCCCCGGTGCGGCGGCTGTGGCACATGGCACGCCCACGATCCCCGAGCTGGTCGTTGCTGTGGCTGGCGCCGGCCGTGGTCCGCTTGTGACTCGTGTGATCCGTGCCAGCAAGGTTACGGGCGTGCCCATCCAGCTGTGGGCGCTCGAGAAGAACCAGAACGCCTACGTCTACCTGCTGCGCATGAACAAGCAGGTCTGGGGCGGCAAGGTGCATCTGATCAAGACGGACATGCGCGAGTGGGCAGGACCCGTCGCCGAGGGCCACGAGGCCAACAACACGCTGACCAAGGTCGACATTCTGGTTACGGAGCTGCTCGGTTCGTTTGGCGACAACGAGCTGTCGCCCGAGTGCCTCGACGGCATTCAGCGCCACATTGCGCGCCCGCACGGCATCTCGATTCCGCAGTCCTACACCGCCCATCTCAGCCCCATCTCGTACCCCAAGGTGTACGCGGAGCTGTCGGGCCGCTCGCCGAGCAATGAAAACGCCTTTGAGACGCCGTACGTCGTACACCTGTTTGCAATTGACCTCGTGTCGCAAAAGGTGCCGGGCCGTCCACGCTTCCAGCAGGCGTGGGAGTTTGTGCATCCCGTGCGTCTGCCGTTCGTCGAGGACTGGACGGCAAAGCATGGCCACAGGAAGGTGCAGACTGGCGGTGGCGGTGCCATGAACTTGGCCACGGGCCTCAACGAGCACAACATGCGCCACTGCCACCTGACGTTTGTGTGCCGGCCGCGCGGTGTCATTCATGGCCTGGCGGGCTATTTCGAGTCGGTGCTGTACCAGCCAGCGCCGACGGCAAACGGCAGTACGCCTGAACCAATTGAAATCAGCACGCGGCCGGACCAGATCGACCACAAGAGCAAGGACATGATTTCGTGGTTCCCCATTTTCTTCCCTCTCAAGGTGAGTTGCAGTCACAACATCGCACAATGCCGCAGGTCACGTTGGTCGCTAACATGATACAGAAACCCCTTTATCTGCCCCAGGATTCCGAGATCGAAGTCAGCATGTGGCGCCAGACAGACGACACAAGAGTGTGGTACGAATGGCTGGTCGAGGTGTTTGTCTGGGCCGGCCCGAGCTCGCGCGTCAAGGTTGCCGCGTCGGAGCTGCACAGCAGCCGCAATGTGGCCTGCTTGATGTAAGAAATCTACAATATATGAGGTCAAGCTTGGTCTAAAAGCATTTCAAGGGGAGGGGAGAGGTTCACGTGCTATGATCTAGCCTCAAAAAGGAGAATATTGCGTATTGCATGTTGCTTTGAATGTATTGCTCAAATCCACAGCTTAGCATTTAGCTGCACCCAATATCATCAAAAAATACTATGACGAATGAAAAGACTATGACGAATGCCAACATTTCAACGCTGTGTGTTTTGGTGTTTGGGGGGACACATGAGGAGTTCTTAGGCGGCGTTGATGATAGTTGTTTATTCTGGAAGCCTGAAGAAGAAGCCACACATGTTGGTACTTACGAGACACTGAGAGGTACATAGCTCTACAGAGATGGAGCACAATTCTAGCGTGTAAATGAGCTGCCTAATGTACAGACTGCTCAAAAAATGTACAGATAAATAGCCCCTATTCTTAGGCCAGCGGCGCATTGGCTAGTGAGCCACGCTAACTGGCCTTGAGATAATGAGGGGCAACGTCAGCATTACAGAGAAGGCGCAGCTTTCACCAATCCACCAGCTCCTGCCTCCCGAGCCTCCCTAGAAACGTACTCCAACTCCCTGAAACGGCACCTGAAGCAACCCAGCTCCTTCCTGATCATCAACTCCCAACGAAACGGCTCTTTCTATTCTGCAGTTGTTTCCCTCTACAACTACAATTGACGAACATAAAGGCTACTGTTTTTCTTTCCCTTACGATCCATTCGGCCGACAGGTAACACTCAACTCAAGCCTGTTTCTTACCTGTTGTCAGCTTCGCCATCGCTGACCACATCTATCGTATAGATAGCCTTCTTGCGGACACACGTCTTTCCAGGCAGGACCTGCTCACGATCCTCAAACTATTGAGACGGCTGGAAGCTGTACTCTCTACCGAATACTCAAACTCAGAACACATCAGACACCATTATGGATTTGCGGAACAATCTATTCGGCAAGGCCGGTCGTGGCGGTTTGCCCGGTCGCCCCGGCAGCGGCGCCGGCGGCGGCGCTCCTCCCCCCAACTATGACCACCCACGCGGCTACGGCGGCGCACCTCCTCAGTCCGCTGGCTATCAGGGTGGCGGTGGCCAGCCACAGTACGGCCAGGGCGGCGGCGGCGGTTATGGGTCACCCCCGCCCAACTACGGTGGAGGTGGTGGTGGCGGCCGCTCAGTCCGCTTACGCCTCGCCAAGGTCGACGACAAGACCTTACAGCAGATGTACATCTTCACCAATATCTGCGCCGTCTCGCCGCGCGATTTTCCGCCCTCCCGCGATGGTTCCGACCTCTACCTGCGCCTCACTGGCAGCATGATTGATGGAGACTATGTTGTCACGGTGCGGCCGACGCCCGGCTTTCCTGACGGCTGCATCTCTCTTTCGGACCCTCAGCGCACATGGCTGCGTGTCGGCATGATGGACGAGCTTGTCGCCGAGATCTACAATCCCTTCTCCAGCAGCACGGGTGGCCAGAGCTACCTGGGCTCCATGGACGTCGAGGTCGGTTTCGCGTCCACCAAGAAGGTCACCGACATCACCTACGACCAGGATGCGCTTGCCCAGCAGATGGTCCAGACCTTTGCCAATCACATCTTCGCACCCGGCCAGCGTTTGCTGATTGACGTGCGCAACACGCCGCTGTCGCTCGTTGTCAAGACTGTGCAGCTGGCTGACCTGAGCATGGAGAAGGCTGGCGCCGCAGGAAGCGAAGGCGCCGTGCGTACAGACCCGGCCGCGCGCGGTATCATGGTGCCGCAGACCAACATTGCCTTTTACAAGAACGCGGGCTCGCCGATGAAACTGTCCGGCTCGACGAAGCGCGCCGCCGCCAACTCGATTATTGCGCCCGACTTCAAGTTTGAGGACATGGGCATCGGCGGTCTCGACAACGAGTTCTCGACCATTTTCCGTCGTGCTTTTGCGTCGCGCATTTTCCCGCCAGGCCTGATTGAAAAGCTGGGCGTGCTGCACGTCAAGGGTATTTTGCTCTACGGCCCACCCGGTACCGGTAAAACGCTTATTGCTAGACAAATCGGCAAGATGCTCAATGCAAGAGGTATGGCAAGACCCCCTCTTCCCCCCTCTGTCGATATGATACAGAATTTATACTAACAACGTCTCGCAGAACCCAAGGTCATCAATGGCCCGGAAGTGCTCAACAAATACGTCGGCCAGAGTGAAGAGAACATCCGGAAGCTCTTTGTAAGTCGTTGCTCGCTGTGTTAAACTGTCCATTTGCAACGCAGTATACTAACAAACGTGCCAGGCCGATGCCGAGAAGGAGTACAAGGAGAAGGGCGACGAGTCGCAGCTGCATGTCATCATCTTCGACGAGTTGGATGCAGTATGCAAGCAGAGAGGCTCCGGAGCCGGTGGCGGAACCGGAGTTGGCGACAGTGTTGTCAACCAGCTTCTGAGTAAGCTCGATGGTGTCGACCAGCTCAACAACATTTTGTTGGTCGGCATGACCAACCGTAAGGACATGATTGATGATGCCCTGCTGCGTCCTGTAAGTCTCTCTGTCTCGACGTTACACTATATGCAGAACAACGGTCACTAACAAATCCAGGGTCGTCTTGAAGTCCAAATTGAAATCTCGCTGCCTGACGAGCAAGGCCGTGTGCAAATGTACGTCCATCAGTTTTGCGCCTATTGTTCCTTTGTTCTTTTGTTATTGCTACTGCCATCTGAGTACGAATACTAACCTCTTACTTAGTCTCAAGATCCATACTGCGAAGATGCTGCAAAACAACATCCTAGATCGCGATGTCGACGTCGGCAGGCTGGCCGCACGTACCAAGAACTTCAGCGGTGCCGAGCTGTCGGGTCTCGTGAAGAGTGCCACATCGTTTGCCTTCAACCGCCACATCAAAGTGGACACCATGGCCGGCATCAGCGACGACGTTTCGCAGATGAAGGTCAACATGAGCGACTTTGAGAACGCGCTGACGGAAGTCAAGGCCGCGTTTGGTGTCTCGGACGAGGAGCTCGAGCAGGCACTGACCTACGGCATCCTTGATTACTCGGTCAACATCCAGAGCATCGTCAAGGAATGCATGGTCTACGCCAACAACGTTCGCCAGCTCGACCGTCTACGGACACTGTCGGTGCTTCTGTACGGTCCGGCCGGCAGCGGCAAGACGGCACTGGCGACTCATGTCGCCATCAAGAGTGCTTTTCCCTTTATCAAAGCCAGTACGTGTTGCATCTACCACTAACCCCCACACACGCGTTGAGACGTCATACTAACTACTCTGTCCAGTTACACCCGAGAACCTCGTCGGCTACTTCAACGAGGCCGGCAAGAAGGACTACCTGCACAAGGTCTTTACGGACGCCTACAAATCGCCGCTTAGTCTGCTGATTCTCGACAACATTGAGCGCCTTATCGAGTGGAACCCGGTTGGCCCGAGGATGTCCAACATCATGGTCCAGGCACTCATGACCTTGCTCAAGGCACACCCCCCAAAGGCCACCGCTTGCTCATCCTGGCCACCACCTCGCGCCGCTCCGTCCTCGACCAGATCGACATGACGGAGTCCTTTGACCGCCAGATCGCCGTCCCCGCCGTTGCCGATGTGCGCGAGCTCGCGACTGCTCTCCAGCAGTTTGGCGCCTTCCCAGACCCGGCCGACATCAACCAGGCCATCAACACTGTGCGCCAGTTCAACGGCGGTAGCGACCAGGTCGGCGTCGGCATCAAGACGGTGCTGACCATGGCCGAGTCGGCCGCCATGGTTGACGACTCGGCCTCGTGGTTTGCTGAGCAGATTAGCCGATCCATTGCCGCCAACAGCCCGGAGCTGTAAGAGACGGATATGAAAATGATGAACAAGAAAAGATTGGAACTCTGCACTTCATGAACCTTGGATACGGATGTACAGATAGGTCCAAGATTCGACATATCATATAGCTTTTGACAAACATTGTGATCAACTGCCAATAACGACGTTTCGTAAGATTAGATAAAACTAGTATATCACATTTGTATGAATTAAAATAATGCAGTATATATAGTGGCTTTTACTTCGGCGGGAAGGCTTGTATCCTGTTGTTTTACGTTGTTTTTGTTTTGACGTGAGAGCCGAAAACTCCATAAAAGCAAGGGCAACAAAGCAGTACACAGGCATACGATTTTGAGCACGCAGAGATGCAACTATTTATTTCCCGACCTCCCCCCTTATGCTGGCATACTTCCTACGGTTACTTTTCCTCTCTGTCTAAAAGAGAGAGACAGAGAGAGAGAGAGAAGGGAGGTGGGGGCTTGTTTTAACTTATTTAGCTTCATGTGATGTGTCACAAACCGATTTTGAGTCAACGGATGGTCACTCGCACCGTGAGGTGTCATTTGCTACATTTCCTTTTTCCCTCTATTTATGCGTCGCCATTTGGTGAAGGTCTGCGTGTTTCCTCCTCTTCGACACTTTCTATTTCCTGGACAAACCCTTTTTCTTTCATGAAACGAAAGGATACTATCTGGAGAGTCTCTCGTAAAAGTACTCGTATTGGTGTATGCATCTTTAATGAGCCCACTTGGCAAGCTCTTATCACGATTATTGGCTTTCTTGTTGCTCCACTTGCCTTATAACCCGACAACTTGGCTCCTGGGACAGCCTCTTTCTTTCTTAATATGCTCTTGCTGAGGCTATACCTCTTCTGCTCACCTGGCGAGAGATTTTTTTACACCTTCATTTTTTTTGCCTGACCACGTCTGACTGTCGCTCTTTCGCCCCGTCGTGGCCGCCTGGTCTTACTGCTTTTTTATTTTGCTACCCCCTGAGTAGGACCTTTCCCGCTGGGATATAAGCACTGCAACTTGCAGAGCATTCCGAGACGGACTTGTAGCTAACCACACCGGGGTTTCATCTGCCCCATCCTGTCTTCCTTTCAGCGCTGACCATGGCTTAGCCCTCGCGAGCCTAGATTGGCGAATAAGTCTCAAGCTGTGTTTGTTTTGGCATACTTCCCAAGATGTGGATGGAGACATAATGAAACCACGAAGACCCAGGCCCCGGGCCTACTTTTATTGCACCGGGACCTGGAAGGCGGTCCCGAGAAACTCGAAGCAGACTACTGAGTAGATGACGCTCGCTGTAAGACAAATAGGGTTGGCGCTTTGTCCGTTTTTGGTCAATGGGCCGCCCCTGCGAAGTAGGTCGTTCCTGGCATTGGCGAGGGCACGAAACGTTGGGCTGGAAAACCACCATTCTCGTCGAGACTAGGTCGCTTGCACGACCTCGATGTCTCTCGAAAATCGATATATGATGCCGTGAACAAGTGGCGTGCGGCTGCGGGAGCAGTTGGTGTTGGTAGCTTACCTCCAATGTCCCAATGACGGACGATTGCTGCTTCCATATTAATACTTAGCAAATGGCGGCCATCTCTCCAGGGCCGGCCGGCCTTTGGGCCAGCGTCATTGTGGCTTGCAGGTATTGACAACAACGACAGCAGTTTATGTGAACCTTGAGGCATCATGTTCTTCTGCCCCCAATGCTCCCAACAAACCAAGTCCTGTTTGCCAATCTGTCAACTGGTTTGGCCCCCGGAATGAATCTTGTTACCCCGGCCCAGTGGGCTAAGAAAGTGCGATGTTCCCTCTTCCGTTGCCCCCTCTTTTTGACATGTCTGGATTTCAAAACAACAATTCGATGCATCTCTATCTGGTCGCCTGTCTTGTGCCGACGGCGCCTTGATCTCGGAACTGGGTGCTGCCTTTTCATAGGCCAAGTTTTGACCTGCAGCGGTGCAGATGCATGTCGCACCGCCATATTAACCCCATAGCAGAGCCGATTTTTTTTTCTTGTTTTTTGGGAGGTCCTGGATTTGATGGGGAAAAGGAGGCCTGCATTTCACTTTTCAGCTTATGGGATTTTCGCCTGGCTGAATGCATTGGGAGCTGAAGACTTCTGTACGCCACATATGGAGGGAAGTCGCCCACCCCGATTGTCGGGACACTGGCCATTGTGACTCTTGCCAGCCAGTGCCAATGGAAAACGGCGCGTTTTTGTTAGTAATCTGATACAAAAGATACGTCGCGTTTAGGGCGCGTTGCCTGGCTGTACAAGTTGTTGTTTCGTAGCTTTTATCTTGATCTGTTTGTTGATGTCTCCTTGCAGGGTGGGACCTCGCCGTCTGTGTAAGTTGTGACGGGTCGACAACGACATGAGGAGGCTGCTAAAATTCTGGAACCATAGAAACGTACGGGGTGTTTCGCAATTCGTCGGAGCAAGTGTATTTCCTTCCCCCCTTTGAAAATAACAGGACTTGTTGACGAATGCCGCTGATGTTATGTTTGCTTCAAAATACCTTTTGTCTTCCGGCCGCTTTTAGAGTATGTGTAGTGTGTGTATACGTTGGGGTGCTTTCGTGGAAATGGTCCCAGAAACCCGCCCACAACGTGTACATGCCAAGCGTAGCACAGACTCCCTCGCTGCCTTGCAACGGAATCAATTTACCCACTCTGCTGGTTGAACCTGGTCGTATGATCCTTCAGAGCGGCAGGATCCTGAAAGAAAGTGCAGCTGGAATCAAAACATCGGAAGACATCATTGGAAGCAGGCATGAATAGCAGACTTGCATGAGAGCGACGGCATGAGCAGATCAAAACCTCCGATGTGCTGCTGGGTGCTGGAAAGGTGCTGCAGAGTAATAGGACGTATCTTGTCAATGCTCATACATCTTCGGGAGAGATTCTTGGTACGGAGCTACATACTTTTGCAACTGCCCAGGTCTCTGACATTCTGCAGGACCCGGAACGGTTGGTGAGATTGCCGCTATTTTCTCCCGTGTTAGATATCTTGGGTGGAGTATCTTGCGAGTTAATGTTTCTCGAAGTCGGGAATTCGCTAGATTGGGCCGCGCCGATATGAAAAAGAAGTAATCATATGAAAATACTTGCACCCATCTCGTCGATACTGGCTTTCACCAAGGAGGTCCGAGCGGCGACACGTTAGGGCAATATGCTGGCAAGTGATTAAGCCCCACGTAACTCGCCTCTGTTGTTGCTTGCAGTAAGTAGCTTGCGGCTGAATCTTATGTCCTTGCGTGACATCTCGCCTGCATGCTAGAAGGCAAAGGTTTTACTGTTGTGGCCCGAGGGTTTCAATGACTGCGACTGGTAACATATGGACACTGGTTAATCGCAGTAAGCCGACTAGAACTGCCATGCAGCCTGCAAGAAGTCTCCGCCAACGACAGATGAGGCGATCTGGTTCCCTTTTCTGGCGCCCGTTATCCTTCGACAGACTTATGCCTTAAGCATTAAGAGAGCACTCCGTATACTGCTTACCGTTCCTATTGCATTCTTGGAAACTGCCGGAAATAGTAAGCGAAGGCATCTTCGACGTTGTGCATTTGTTCTGTCATCGTATGACGACTCGGCAGCTATGAAGGCAAACACAAGGACAGCACTGCGATGCAATTACACATGCAGATCGTGTCCGTTGAATTCTTTCTTCAACGGTTTGACGTCGAGCTGGCGAAACAGGTCTCAAGCTAGTTGGCCAGAAGTATAGAGTCAAAGGGACTGTACAGACGGAAAGACGGAAGAAAGCGGCGCAACCGTTTTGAGCCCTTTACGGCTTATAAAGGGCACGGGCTAGACTTGTTTTGGCTTGGCCCTGGATCTGGTTGGCTGACCTTTTGTTGCTTTTTGTGATGAGCGCTGTGATGCGACCCGTTCTCATCCCATTCACGCCCATCACGCGCTAGCCTGGATCAAGCGCGACGCCGTTATTTTCGCGGGTCCAAACTTCGCGCTCAGAGGATGCGCTGTAAAGGTCGTGACAGGTGCATTGGAAGAGCAGACGTCCTAATCTTTCGTCATGTGGGTTTTTGCTGTCGATCGGCTGTGCCCGAAGACGACGGATGGCAAACGGTTGCGCGCGACAAAAGTACTTACCAACCACCACACGGCTAGCTCCAGGCTCTCATATTTCTGTTCAAGGACATTGCGCGACCTAACCATCATGGAGAATATCACAAGCGTTTAGTACCGTCTAAAATGCGCCAACGTCACTGAAGAGCACGCCTCGTGATGTGTCTAGGGCATCGTCGTGATTGTCGTGATTGTCGAGTCGTTGCTTTTTCGGTTGTCGAATCGGCGCGGAGCACACTGTCTCTCGGTGATATTCCTCAATGATCAGCATCGTTTCTTTCCATATTCACTGTCAAAGTCCAACGCTGGAGAGTAGCGATGACTCGCGAGTGGGGTGAACGCACTCGATGTCCCACTTCTGCAATCCGGATAGAAGCTTGTGAATTTGTGCTCACTGTTTTGCGCATTCACACTGTTTCAGCGCTGTCACCCGCCTGTTCTTGTAGCCCGTAATCTTCCAAACCAGTCGTGTGGAAGCTGGGTCTGATCTCCATGCGATGTCAGGCGTCGCAAGCACTTAACGGAGTAGATGGACTGGGTCAAGCCATGACGTGCGCGATATTGGCCAGACCAGAATCACTGAGGCTGGCTGGCGGCGTCGTAGCTGCACCTCCATTGGGCCTTTGGCTCGTTGGCTGCGTTGGTCGTGTTATTTGCAGAAAAATGAAGCCTATCCCCCCATCCAGCAACGGGCCGACACGGCCTGGTCAAAGCTACGGCCAGTGTTGTGTCACCCATCGTGGCTTCTGCCCTGGGATGACTCTGAGTGTACGACATATGGAGTATGAAGTATGCCACCAGGAACACCCTGGTCTGCTTCTTTCGTCACACTGCACCCGGTTAGCTCTCTCGCCCATATTTTGCAGGGAAGCGGCTGGACGATAAATGACCTCGCTTTTCCAGCGGTCTCGCTGTGAACCTGTCCCATCCGAA